CATGTGTAGCATTATGTGCCACTGCCCATGCGCGACCATATTGTCCTGGGTTGTATAATGGCCTGACTTCACATGTTTGCCTTCTTGGCGGGACATTTAAACTATTGCGGAGGTTGAGCTCCACAATTACTATTCAAAATTTCCAAAACAATTTTTAAAACACCCCTTGATACCATGGATTACCTAGTACTCACATACTAAACTTCATCAAAATCAGAGTGTAGGCTAGTCTTTTGCTCAGTACACATCACACACGCACAAACTTCAAACCCCATTTTTTGGGGGGTTTAGGTGGACCCAAAACGGATATTTGCACCCAAAATTCAAATTTGAAAATTTAGACGGAAACAATTTCTTTCTCCACAATATAGTCACAGTAGGCCTAAGGGGAGAAAGTAAAAAACAAGACTTTTGCTTTGTAATTTGTTTTAAATTAACTTTAAATAATCCATTGTAGGCCTATTTAACAGTACCAACAAAGCAGCTTCAGTAACTAATGGGTTTTTATTTTTTATTAAAACCCCTAAACAAGTCCAAGTTTGGACAACAAGCAAATTTGGATTTATTTTCACTATTTAACAAATTGGTTCTTTTAAAATATAAATATAAACCTAAGTAAAATCAGAAAAATTATAATAAAATATTATTTCTCAAAATGTAATGCCTTATTAAGACGATTGAAATATGAAAGTATATTAACAATAATTTATAAGTGTTGAGCAGTCAACAAAAGTGCTCTAGTATCAGAAACCACATGATAAGATATACTAAATAACGACCACGGAATACAGTAACAGCTGATTACAAACAGCTGGGTCTTGAGTATATATAAAATTTACAGTAAAACCGCAGAAAACATTACCTATTCTCAGTATTAATATATCAACAAGAGGATTATAGGTTTAACCCTTAAGCGTGCACGCTCGTTTTTTTACACTGGAGCGTGCGCGAGGGTCTAGTGGAACCCTAAGTAAATATGGGTAGGCCTATATAAAAAAGTTTTTTGATATTTAGCTCTTTAAACTTACATAATATGTATCTACAGGGTGTTTTTTTTTTTAACTTGCATCTTTATTTATGTAAAAACCGCAATAGATAGAAATATGCAGTTGGCGGGAACCATCTATTGACGTAGGGGGCACAATTGTTTTGAATTCAACGTTACATTCACATTCCCCCCCTGCCCGCAACTTAATTTTTTTAAATAGCAAGGTACCCCTTGTGACATATCAAATAAAATAGCATGAAAAAAGAAAATGTTTGATGAAAATAAATTGAAAATCGGTTCATAATTTTGTGAGATATTCCCCCCCTCCCCCCCCGGAACTTAATTTTTTTTAAAGCAAGGTACCCCTTGTGACATATCAAATGAAAGAGCATGAAAAAAAAATGTTTGGTGAAAAAAATTTTTAAATCGGCTCATGAATTTGTGAGATAATCCCCCCCCCCCTTTTCCCCTACCCATAACTTATTTTTTAATAGCAAGGTACCCGCCCTTGTGACATATCAAATGGAAAATAAATTTCACCAAACATTTTCTTTTTTCATGCTCTTTCATTTGATATGTCACAAGGGGTACCTTGCTATTAAAAAAAATTAAGTTCCGGGGAAGGGGGGGGGGAAATATCTCGCAAAATTATGAACCGATTTTCAATTTTTTTTCATCAAATATTTTTATTTTTCATGCTCTTTCATTTGATATGTCACAAGGGGTACCTTGCTATTTAAAAAAAAAAAGTTGGGGGCAGGGGGGAAAGGGGGGGAATGTGAATGTAACGTTGAATTCAAAACAATTGGGCCCTCTACGTCAATAGATGATTCCCGCAAACTGCATATTTCTATCTATTGCGGTTTTTACATAAATAAAGATGCAAGTTAAAAAAAAAACACCCTGTATATTTATTTTCTAATATTGTTACGAAAAATTGTATGATCCTACCATATCCTTTAACTATTTTGAAAATAATAGTTTGAACCCTCAATTTTTCCATGATAAATGTAATAATGGAGTTGAAGAGGGGAAAATCATAGTTTTAAACAAGTTTTTATTGCAAACAAATATTATTCTTAATTTTACAAAAGTATAATAGGCCTACTTGTAAAAAAAACCATGGAAGCAGGAAATATTTCATGAATAAATCAGTATCCTGGTTTGTAAAAAATAGGCCTACTGATAAAAAAATAAAAGAAATTAAAAACTTTCTTTGGTAGGCCTAATGTGTTTTTTTTTTTTTATCCTCGCCCAGTGGTTGGTTTAGAAGTCCTTTTAAACACACTTCACAAATATTTTACATTTGTCCTTGGCACATTAGTTTTTTAAAGGTTTTATTTGGTCTTGGCATCTTTTTTACCAAGGCTCAATAAAAAGGCCGTAAAACAAAGGTTAAGATTACGAATCTAAGGATAATTGAGCGGTACTGAAGGTAATATGGCGTGGTCTGGATGGGTCCGTATGTGAACTGAGGAGGATGACTGAGTGAGGAGGAGAGCAAACAGCTGTTTATACAGTAGACTCCCTCTTATCCGGACACCTTTTAATCTAACATCAGTTTAACCAGACTACACTCTGCGGAAATGACATCTCTTTAACAGGACAATTTTTATCAGCAGATCGGTTTAACCAGACTAGATCGGCAGGAAGTGTGCGTTTCTGAAACGACCGTTCTCGTGGGAAAGATTTGAGACCAGTGATCACGTGTCTGAATACAATGCTCTTCTAAATATGCATTTAAACGGTCCGTTTTTACGAGTTTTTGGAGACGTCGGTTTAACCAGAAAACCGTTATCCGGACTGGCCTCGGTCCCGAGGAGTCTGGATAAGAGGGAGTCTACTGTAAGTTACTTGACTTAATGTGGAATTAAATCAATTTGTTTTGAAACCAAGTAATCAGTTCTTATTTAGGCATGTGAGAAAGGTAGGTCGGGTTTTATGCGGATTTGTGACTGTTAGTGTTGTTAAGTGTTTTGAAGTGAGGTTGGATTAGGAAGGTAAAGGTTATGATATAATGAACCGACTCATTAATTTATGCTACTTCCAGACTGTTTTTGCACAATTAAATAGTGCTTAAAAAGCATTTATTGTTATTTCATTGTGTTTCACCCACTATTTAAATTGTGCAAAAACGGGCAGGAAGTAGCATAAATTAATTAATCGGTTCATTATAACCTAACCTTTAACTTAGGTAGGCCTACCTAATCTAAAACTTCACTTCAAAGGATACAGTCGCAAATCCTTATAAAGTCCGACCTATCTTCCTCAAATGCCTTTCTGATCGATAAAATGTGATAAAAAAAAAATAAAGGTTGGGTTGGGTTAGGTTAAGTTGGATTAGATTAGCCAAAACTAAGCCTTAGCCAAACCTTACCCTGTAGGCTAAATTCAATAATAACTTCTTTAACTTACTGCAGTAAGTTATGTCTTAGGGCTAAAGAAAATACTGAGTTGCCAAGCATGGAATCTCTCATTGTTGGGGTTTCGTTATTACACATGTAATATCATTTATTAGTTGCTGATACATGAAATTAAATGCACTGTGGCACGTTTTCACTTTTAGGCACAATGGGATTATGCACTACATCATAACTTATTTATTAACAGGCGTCGAGGGTTGGGAAGAGGACGATCATGTCGGCAATGGCATAGCTTCTATTATTGGTTTATGAGAATAAATCATATTTTTGTATAAAAATAATTGATATTGATGTGATTAAGTTAAGTTAATAATGCATCGTACTTAGTTGATGTATTGTATTTTCTTAACGGCGCCAAAGTCCATTTGTTTTTAAAAATCTAAGTAATTATTGCATATTGTCATTCTGAATTTGCTATCATGTCGTCGTATGTGGTTTTATCTGTTTAGTATAAAAAGTAAATAACTGAAATCTGTTTCAACTCCACAAACCTTCCTCCCCTACTCGTCTAAACCACAAATATGTCAATGACTCAACAAAACTAAAGCTTGATATTATTTATTTAACTTTAATTTACGGCCACTTAACTTAGGCCTAGGAATACCCTGTCTGACAAAAACTTTTGGAACTGTTTTACATAGCCTAGGTTAACTTAAATATAATAAGTTAAAATTAAATGGTGCTAATCAATCAGTAAAAAATTGTTTAAAGAACTAGGTCTATAAAATTAATAATTACAAGTTGGGTTAGGTCAAGTGACCAAGGTCTGTTTGAATTTTAGGGGTTAAGTTATGTTGTTACTTAAATTACATTAACATGCATTGGGGAAAGTAACTTAAATTAAGTAAATTACAAAAAGAGATTGTTAGAAACTATTGTGAGTAGGCCTAAGTTACTAAGAAGAATGATTGCTTTGATTATTACAGGAAAAGAAAATCATTTGTCATGCTTCAGTTCCCAACCTCTTCTTCAGTAAAATTATCAATTACAATACTAAGTAGGAAGGAAACTAAAAATTGTGTTGGTGTTTAAATCAATTAAATTGCACAAGAGCAAAGTAAACTAAGGTAATCACTTTCTTGCAGCAAAAATATTTCACTTTAGAGGATAATGTAAAATCCCTTTGTGTAGGCTAGGTCTCCATTTTGGTTGGTTGAAAGAGGATGGGGAAACGCGTTGGTAAATTACAGGTAATTAGGCACGTTCTAATAGATTATACATGTTAATTACCAATAGAAAACATCGCAAAGATATTATACTTTACATTTATATCAAGGATAACTGGAAATTTAACCCTAGAACAAGTAAAACAAAATAACCCCGACGGCAAAATCCAGCGCTAACGTCATCAAGATGACGCCACCATGACCGCAAATAGCAGCTAGTTTCTAATAATTTTAAAATTAGTGAAGATGACATTGATACACACTACACACACGTGACGGGTTTGGCATTTAATGACCGTCAGCGCTAAAGATCGGACAGTATCGGAGAGAAACGCATTCCTTGCAGGCTCACTGCAGAGAGCACAAAGCAAGGTTCAATGACACGGTCGAATTTCACATAGATATTACAACTAAGGTACTTACCAATCGTCCAATTTTATGAGTTCTTCTGGTTTCTTGTTCTTCTTTTCTGCCTTTAACCGCAAAACCTGAGGATATAAACTCAAAACGTGTTCGAACTGAGAGGCCGAACCCGTAGAGAAAAACGTTGCTGTGTCTTTAGTGGAAGCCATTGTGTTAACTACGAAGTCAGCGTTTGCCGCGAGAGAGCAGCACTGAGACACCCTCGTTGGGAAACCATTTTGTTAAAATATATAATTATTAAATTTTAATTTGAGCATACTTTATTATTGAAGCATGTCACTATGATCTGTCAGAGGAATGTGATCACGTAAGTTGGTTGACGCGAGAAACTGCGAAACTGATGTATAAATCAGTGTAGGCAGCGCACCGCTGCGGAGTGGTGGGGAGGGAAAACAGAATAAATGACCTCCTTCTATTCCTATTCTATTGTCAAGTATTTAGGGGCTAACGTAAACCGTTGCAAGTCTGTTATGTTCAACTTTATTTTACTCCATATAACGATATTTAACTGTAAAAACTATGAGAGTCCCTATAAAATAAACTTATTATATAATTGTATTATTCTTGAAGCCACCACCATCTTTGTTTCATAAAAAGTTATATAATTAAAATTCCGCGTTATAGAGTAATTTTTACGAAATTGTGTTGCTTATATGTAACACAAGGAATTTCCATAAATTCATGTCTTTGAAAATAGCTAGACTTAACGGAATCTAAGTATTTACACTTTCGATCAATACAATCCGGGCGAGTGTTTTTTATTCATAACTTTTAATAAGCTCTGTATTGATCTAGCCCCGGCAAAAACTGTATTCCCAATATTCGCGTGTACTCATTATCAATGTTCTCGTTTTGCAATGAAATATCAAATTACTGATAATTATTTACTGTAATAAAGCACTCTGACATTCTCTCATTTGATCTCTGCTGTTCAATACCGATACATAATTTGAATTTTTTAAACTAATTTATGAAATCTCATTATGAGAAAATCCCTAATGAATAATCTATTTGATGATTATAACATTTTTATTGACTTTGATGAAAATGTTTTTTAGTGACAGAACTATAACTTATTACAATTTAATCAACCCAAATTATGTTAATTTTTCGACCTTTAATTGAACCGTAATTTTTTACTTTGGAAGTTTAAAAATAGGCAATAAATCATGTTGACCCCGCCGTTGTTCTGTCTCACTCACTCCATCTCTGTCTCTCTCATTTTCATTCATCCGTCCTTCCCCACCCTAATGCACGTCACGTTACGCTACTGCTCCTGTACCCCTTTATCGTCCAAGTCTCTCTCAACGCTCTCTCTCTCCCCCCCCCTCAATCACTCTCTCTCTCGCACACAACAATGTTCACGTGTTGGTGGAGAGCTGTATGGTTGTATCTAGACCCAAAATAGAGTCCCCTCATACCCCTAATGTCTGCACCCTTACCACCCTGAGTGACATTTTAGTGGGGTAAATGTCTATTTTGACAACCTATCTACAATATTTAGTAATTTAGTGACTTAGTGTGCTCTAAGTAACACACCTTCATCATTATTTCATGTTAAATCAAGCATTTTGAAGCTCATTTTTCGTGTCTATTTCATGCCCGGTAAAACTGATCACTAGTGTCGACGAATTTTTTTTATAATATTTTAGGGTTTAATTCTTGATTCGTGCTTTACTGTTTGGTTAGATAACTAGGGTGCGAGTTATTGTTTACTATACGATCGTTTTATTTGGTTAACCGAGGTTTTTCAATTACTGAAACAGTGAAACAACAAGAAACAAATTGTAAGCAAAACATGACCTCTACAGTGGACCGGACAAATCTAACAAAAAATTAGCTCCAGCTCTCCCATAAGGATGAGAAATCTAGGTTCAAGTGTACGAGAAGTGATAAGTAACTACTTATGATAAATAATTAGGTTGGAAACTATTACACTATCCACAGCCATTTAAAATTAAACGACCCCTAACTCAAATGCACAATCGAAGGCTGTTCTTTTAGTTTTACTAAAGTTACTTTGGAAATTACAAAATTGGCCAAAACTTAATTCCACAGACCTAAACAGGAAAAAAATGCTTCTTTTCTAAACAAGATGTTAAACAGTATTCGATCAATTAATAAAATGTCATATCGACTTAATATTTAATTTAAGAATCACAACAACACGATCAACCATGTTATAATTGCCAGGCTCTACAGTTGGCGTAATTTTACAAGAGTGGAGATGGAAATGCATTGAACGCCTTCCAGCACCACATACTGCGGGCATTACGTCACCGTTTGGCGGCGACATCGACTAAAGTCGCCGGCGCGGCCGTTGTGATCAAGTGACCAGTGTCGACTGTCGAAGCCCACTACTATAATATACTTGGAAATGTCACTGCAAAAGGTAGCATTTACAAATTTCAATTATAAGATTTTGACATTATGATTTATATTATCGTGGCATAGAATGGATGGTTTTTTATTCAAAAAACAAAAAATCATGTTTACGGTTATTATAGTTTTATGGTTATATAATACTGTATAGTAAAGAAACCGATTTGATTTATTAACGTTTAGGAAGAGTACCTGGGGACCGAGCTTTGCTCGGGGAAAATCATTAGTCTACTCTGAAAGCAGTCTTAGTACTGTATTGGAGACACATATATCCATTCCCAAACTCCACACGGCTCGCCTTTACTACGTCCTACACCATTTCCTACGTCATGGACCTGTTTCCCTCCATTTCCATAGCACTTTAGGATTGTAGATACCTTAATCTAATCGTTATTAACAGTTCCCACACTCCGGACAGCTCGTCTTTACTACGTCCTACACCATTTCCTACGTCATTGACCTGTTTCCCTCCCTTCCCATAGCATTTCAGAATTGCAGATACCTTAATCTAATCGTCATAAACCGTTCCCATACCCGGACAGCTCGCCTTGACTACTTCCTTCACCACTTCCTACGTCGCGGACCTGTTTTCCTCCCTTCCCATAGCATTTTAGGATTATAGATACCTTAATCTAATCGTCATAAACAGTTCCCACACTCCGGACAGCTCGCCTTTGACTACACCCTTCACCACTTCCTACGTCGCAGATCTGTTTTCCTCCCTTCCCATAGCATTTTAGGATTGTAGAAACCTTAATCTAATCGTCATAAACAGTTCCCACACTCCGGACTACTCGCCTTGACTACTTCCTTCACCACTCCCTACATCGCGGACCTGTTTTCCTCCCTTTCCATAGCATTTTTGGATTGCAAATACTTTAATCTAATCATTATAAACAGTTCAAACACTCCGGATACTCGCCTTGACTTCCTACGTCGCGGACCTGTTTTCCTCCCTTTCCATAGCATTTTTGGATTGCAAATACCTTAATCCAATCATCATAAACAGTTCCCACGCTTCAGACAGCTCACCTTGACTACTTCCTTCACCACTTCCTTCGTCACGGACCTGTTTCCCTCCCTTCCCATAGCATTTTAGGATTGCCCATACCCTTATCTAATCGTCATAAACAGTTCCCACGCTCCGGACTACTCGCCTTGACTACTTCCTTCACCACTTCCTACGTCGCGGACCTATTTTCCTCCCTTCCCATAGCATTTTAGGATTGTAGAAACCTTAATCTAATCGTCATAAACAGTTCCCACGCTCCGGACTACTCGCCTTGACTACTTCCTTCACCACTTCCTACGTCGCGGACCTATTTTCCTCCCTTCCCATAGCATTTTAGGATTGTAGAAACCTTAATCTAATCGTCATAAACAGTTCCCACGCTCCGGACTACTCGCCTTGACTACTTCCTTCACCACTTCCTACGTCGCGGACCTATTTTCCTCCCTTCCCATAGCATTTTAGGATTGTAGAAACCTTAATCTAATCGTCATAAACAGTTCCCACACTCCGGACAGCTCGCCTTGACTACTTCCTTCACCACTTCCTACGTCACGGACCTGTTTCCCTCCCTTTCCATAGCATTTTTGGATTGCAAATACTTTAATCTAATCATCATAAACAGTTCAAACACTCCGGCTACTCGCCTTGACTACTTCCTTCACCACTTCCTACGTCGCGGACCTGTTTTCCTCCCTTTCCATAGCATTTTTGGATTGCAAATACCTTAATCCAATCATCATAAACAGTTCCCACGCTTCAGACAGCTCACCTTGACTACTTCCTTCACCACTTCCTTCGTCACGGACCTGTTTCCCTCCCTTCCCATAGCATTTTAGGATTGCAGATAACCTGATCTTATTGTGATAAACAGTCCCCACACTCCGGACTGCTCGCCTTTACTACTTCCTTCATCACTTCCTACATCACGGACCTGTTTCCCTCCCTTCCCATAGCATTTTAGGATTGCCCATACCCTTATCCAATCATCATAAACAGTTCCCACACTCCGGACAGCTCGCCTTGACTACTTCCTTAACACCTTCCTTCGTCACGGACCGGTTTCCCTCCCTTCCCATAGCTATTTAGGATTGCCCATACCCTTATCTAATCGTCATAAACAGATCCCAGACTTCTCACCGCTACCCTTGACTACAATGTATCGAGTAATCTTCAGTATAATCTTTGCTAAATGATGTTTTTCCTTTTGTACTGTATTTGTAGTTTGCTAGTATACTGTGGGTAGTTGGCTTATTATGAACACATGCTACAACTTCAAGTCTTTTGTTTACTTTTTCCTTGTTATTTAATTCAGCCAACAAGGTTACCTAGCAACCCATAAGACTAATGTTAAAAAAATGTGATTTTCAGTTTCATTTTTCTACGTAATTAGATTTTTGTTGGCAGTTCTAACTGCAGTAAACTCGTTTTTAGGCCAGCATTAAACTATTTACAACATTTGAAGAAAATCGTCGGAACCGTTTTCGAGATCTTTGTGCAAGCAAGCATACATACTACATACATACAAGCAAACATTGCTCGTATTAGAGTATAGGAGTACCTGGGGACCGAGCTTTGCTCGGGGAAAATCATTAGTCCACTCTGAAAGCAGTCTTAGTACTGTATTGGAGACACATAGATCCATTCCCAAACTCCACACGGCTCGCCTTTACTACGTCATACACCATTTCCTACGTCATGGACCTGTTTCCCTCCATTTCCATAGCACTTTAGGATTGTAGATACCTTAATCTAATCGTTATTAACAGTTCCCACACTCCGGACAGCTCGTCTTTACTACGTCCTACACCATTTCCTACGTCATTGACCTGTTTCCCTCCCTTCCCATAGCATTTCAGAATTGCAGATACCTTAATCTAATAGTCATAAACAGTTCCCACAATACGGACAGCTCGCCTTGACTACTTCCTTCGCCACTTCCTACGTCGCGGACCTGTTTTCC